CTTCATGCATGCATGCATGCAAATCAGAAATCAGAAGACCAGGTGACTGGCGCACATGTGCACGCCGAAAACCAGAAGCTCAGCTTTTAGGAATGCACATGTCCACTAGGAACTGCTCTTCTGGTTTCTGGTGTGCATGGGCACACTCATGTTTCAGCACTCGGTTCCAAAAAGGTTCACCAAACTGATCTATAATTGTGTATAGGAACATCTTTACAAAATATGGGCTAGAGAATAAGAAAGCCAAGATTATGTGAAGCTTCCAGATCCAGGCAGTCTGAATGTTGGAAATTGACCTTAAACAGAGGAAAGGAAGAGAAGAAAGAAAGAGAGAAAAGAGAGGAATAGAAGAAATGAAAAAAGTGTACATTAACCACCTGCTTTAGACCTTGAAGCTCGAGAGACTGTTACTATGCCCTAATAGGGAGGTGACCAACTACAGTTTCTCTTTCTCTCCCTCGCTTAATAAACCTCTTATGGAAGATGAATATGGTGTAAATACTATGCATAACATCTGTATTATAGAGAATCTCAAATAAGAAGCAGTTGCTATGAATATTTATGTGAACATGATGTGAATATATATGCTAATGATACTGCATTGCCAATTATTATTAAAGAAAGAAATTGTGGGAAACTAGTAGGATTGAAAATTAACTATAAAATATTTTTTTATAAATATTATTTTTACTCCCAGAAGGAAATTAAGAAAAATAGGACATTGTGTCTGTCTAAAGTGAGTAGGAATCAATATTCTTAAATATGGACAGTCAGATGGGCAGCATATACATGTAATAAATGCAGTTCAGAGTCCTCTAAAGCAGGGGTCCCCAAGCCCTGGTCCCTGGCCTACTGCTGGACAGCCTGTTTGAAATTGGGCTGTGGAAGTGGTGGGTGAGAGCGTGCGAAACCATTCACATTATTGGAAAATTTAGTTAAGATCCCAGGAACATTTACTATCATTATTTAGTGTAAGGTGACCAGATTTTCAGATTGGTAAAGAGGGACACCTTTGACCCGGGGGGGGGGGGATTAAAAATTTTATACGGAGCAACAAAAATTTTCATACAACGCAAAAATAGTATTGTAATATTTTTTATTTCAACATAACTACAATTTACAAATATAAATTGTAACTGTTGCCAAACATCAAAATTTTAATCACGTGACCATGAGGCTGCTGAACGGTCGCTAAGTGTGAAAATGGTCGCTAAGTGTGAAAAATGGTCGCTAAGTGTGAAAAATGGTCG